CGACCGTGCCAACAGATTTGGAAGACAGCTACCTGGCCAACTGATTGGAATAGATCTATATCCATCCCCATTCCAAAGAAAGGTGATCCCACAGAATGTGGAAATTGTCGAACAATGTCATTGATATCACACGCAAGTAAAATGTTACTGAAGATAATTCAAAAATGGTTGCAGCAATATATTGACAGAGAACTTCCAGAAATGCAAGCTGGATTCAGAAGGGGATGTGGAGCAAGGGATATTATAGCTGATGTCAAATGGATCTTGGCTGAAAGCAAAGAATACCAAAAAGATGTGTACTTGTGTTTTATTGACTATGCAAAGGCATCTGATTGAGTAGATCATAACAGATTGTGGATAACATTGAGAAGAATGGGAATTCCAGAACACTTAATTGTACTTATGAGGAGCCTGTACATAGGCAAAGATAATCTCCTTGAAGACTAAGATGCACCTAACCCAAGTCATGGTATTTCTAGTCGCCTCATATGCATGTGAGAGCTGGACGATGAATAAGGAAGACCAAAGAAGAGTTGATGATTTTGAGTTTGATGTTGGTGAAGAATGCTGAAAGTACCATGGACTGCTAAAAGAACTAACAAATCTGTCCTGGAAGAAGTGCAGCCAGAAAGCTCCTTGGAAGCGAGAATGGCCAGACTTCGTCTCACCTACTTTGGTCATATTGTCAGAAGGGACCATTCTCTGGAGAAGGATGTCATGCTTGGTAAAGTGGAGGGTCAACGAAAGAGGGGAAGGCCCACAACAAGATGGAATGACACAGTGGCTGCAGTGATGGGCTCAGGTAGAGTAGGGACCATGAGGCTGGCACAGGATTGGGCAGTGTTTTGTTCTGTTGTATGTAAGATCATTAGGAGTCGGAGATGACTTGGCGGCACATAACAACAACAATAATTCCACAAATAGGCCAGTATTATGTGAATCAACCCAACTAATTCCTTCTTTTCTTTTTAATTAACAAAGTGTGACCATTTTCACTCCCCCTTAAATGACTCTTTTCTCCCAAGGTAAAAGGGAACAGATTAGATAGCTTATATCTCCCTCATACAGTTTTTTTCCTGATCAAAAAAGTTCAGATTCTTTGTTAACATACAAAAAAAGCACTAAAGAAATGTTTTATAGCTGTTGATGTGGTTTTGCTATCGGGAACTCTATCGGCATAGTGGCTAAGGCACTTGACTGCTAACCAGAAGGCTGGAGGATCAAACCCACCAGCCACTCCTAGGAAGGAAGATTGGGCAATCTACTTCTATAGAGATACCACTTCGGAAACCCAAGGAGAGGTCACTATGAGTCGAATCAGCCAAGATGAATTTCAGAATGTTATGTGCGTCTCTTTTAAAGGATGAATTTAAAAGCTTAGCCAAATTACAGTGCTTATCTCACACTTTCTTAAGGCCACGTGTCATTGAGGACATGTTTATCATTCAGTTTTGTTTAATACATTACACAGTAAGTAAATTACTAGTAGATTAAATGATAAGTGAATTTCTATTTGAGTATTGAGTAATGTGTTTTGTTGATGTTATATATAATCTGCTAGCCATGTAATTAACTGGTAACATTAGGTCCACACATTAAAATAATCAATACACAGTATAGATGGTTTTGTAAGCTGTGAGCATTCTGGTTTCATAGAATATGTTTCAATCATCATGAGCTTGTTTATTATTTTCAGGTTTCAAATTTAATTAGGTGATTATCATTGTACTGCAGGAATAGTATAATTTTTTGATTAGTAAGTAGTATGGTAGGAGGGGCTGGACTGACTAGGCTACCATTTAGCTACTGTGACCTTCGAAAGTTACTAAGCCTCTCTCTGTCTTAGTTTCATAAAAATTGGACATGCCAAGAACTTTTGAGTGGTTGTTAATCACGGTAGTTATGAAGATTCAGTGATGTGACACGTGTATAGCTCTTAAATAGTGGCATGTTGAAAACACTCAATAAATACTAGCTGGAATAATGACAGTACCTGGAAACTAACAAAAGAACATAAGTATTATTTCCAATTTGAAGCTACAGGAATCAAATCAGAGAGAAAAGATCCAGTTCTAGCACTGTAACCAGTGTATGTGTCATCACTCACGTTTTGACAGACTCTTTTATTACACATGATATAAATCAGATCATCAAACTTTTTCTGTTAAGGATTAGATATTAACTATCATGGGCTTTGTGAGTAATATGGTCTCTATCATGTGAAAAGCAGGCATAGATAATATGTAAACAGATGGGCATGGGTATTCCAGTAATATTTATTTATGGACACGGAAGTTTGAGTTTCATATTGTTTTTTTGTGTCACAATACGTCGTCATAATTATTATTAAAATCTTTTTTCAGCCATTTAAAGGGTGAAAACCATTCTTCGTTCGGGGGCTATACAAAAACAGGCAGCAGGCTGGATTTGGCCCACTGACTTCTGATATAAATTTTACATTAAATTTGTTAAATTACAATGGGTCTCTCCTTGTCCAGAGCAAAGAAGAATGAAGAAAAACAAAGACTCATGGAAAAAATTAGCCCAAGTGACTGGTACACCATATGATCTTCAGCCTATACAACGATGAGACCAGAAGAACTAGATGGTACCTGGCTACCACTGTCAACTACTCGGGGGATCTATGTAGGAGATCCTGGATGGATTGGAAGAGTGGTGTGCAACAAAACTCAAAATCATTAAAAAAAAAAAAGGGGACCCGGTTTGCTGATCTAATAGAGCCTGGTAGAACCCCTGAGACTATGGTCCCTAGCTGCTTTTCAGGTCTGGAATTGAACCCATTCCTGTGGCCAAACAAAGGACAGGCATATGAGCTGAACATTTACATTAGGTAACTGAGCTGAACATTCACATTACGTTAGGTAAATGAACTGAACATTTACATTAGGGAGACAGCTCAGAGGGCAGGAGTGCATGAGCATGGACACAGGAAAGAGGTAACTATGGGGAGGAAGTGGGAGGGGAGCTGTTGCATTGTGGGAAATTGCAGTCAATGTCATGAGACAAAGTGTATGTGAGCTGCTATATGGAAAGTGAATTACTCTGTAAACTTTCACCCAAATCACAGGGAAAATTAAATTTTAAAAAAAAATTTGTTAAATTAATAATAGATAACATTAACTGCATACTTATATACCCCAGGCAGGTGTTCAGCCTATGAGATAGCTGCTATTATTCTTTTCTTTCCATTTTTTTCTCTCTCTAATTTGATAGGTAAGTAACTTAATTCCAAGAAACTGTAAGTAATTTGGTCAAATTCACACAGCTGGTGAGTGATGGGGTTGAATTCAAATACTGGGCTCTCTGATTCCAAATCCTGAATTCTTTTTTTTCATCTTTGTTGTCTGCACCTCCAATGTACCTCTCTATGTCTTCCTCTTCCTCAATGCCATTAAGTTGATCACTCACATTTGGTACATTGCCCTTCTCTTCACCCAAATCAATACTTATCTCTACCTACCTAACAGTGCACCCTCCCCTCCCACCCCTGGTAACCAACAAAGAACATTTCTTTCCATATATAAACCTTTCCTTGACTTTTACAGTTGTTGTTGTTGTTGTTGTTATGTGCCGTCGAGTCGGCCCCGACTTATAGCGACCCCTCCTTGGGTTTCCGAGGCAGTATCACTACGGAAGTAGGATTCCTTCCTTCCGAGGAGTTTTACAGTAATAGACTAATATTTGTCCTTCTGTGATAGACTTATTTTACTCAGCATAATGTCCTCCAAGTTCATCCATGTTATGTGATGTTTTGCAGATTCTATGTTAATTCTTTAGGGTTGCATAGTATTCCATTGTGTATATGTACCATAGTTTGGTTACCCATTCCTCAGCTGATGGACACCTAGGTGGTTTCCATCCTTTTGCTATTGTAAATAGTGCTGTGATGAACATGGGTATGCATATGTCTGTTCTTGTCCTGGCTTTCACTTCTTTAGGATATATACCAGGTAATGGAATGGCTGGGTCAAATGGTATTTCTAATCCCAACTTTTAAAGGAATCGCCATACTGCTTTCCACAATGGTTGTACCATTTTACAGTCCCACCTGCAGTGTATGAGAGTCTCAGTCTCTCAGCATCCTTGCCAGCATTTGTTGTTTTCAGATCCTGAATTCTTAATATTAAAAGAAAAAAACACAGTGCCATCCTGTTGACCCTGACTGATGGCAACCTCATGTGTGCAGAGTAGAAATGTGCTTCATAAAGTTTACTAGACAGGACCTTTCAGAAGTAGATTGCCAAGCCTTCAGAGGAATCTGTGAATGGATTCAGACCACCAACATTTTAGTTGGCAGTTGAACACTTAATTGTATGCACCACCCAGGGACTTCTAACAATATTTAAAATTTTGGTTATGTTCTTTTTCTTGAGTTTTAGATTATCATATTTCATTATCAGTTAGAAGGAAAAGGACAATTCATGTATTTTATTTGTCCATGTAACAGCTCTTGCCTATTTACCTTATGATGAGGTTTCTCTTTGCATTTGAATATAGATTTGAGTCAATATAAGATCACAGACCCATTCCTAAAGAGCATGGCAAAAGCACTCCACTTACAGACCCAGATCCTCTATAGCATCTTTCTTTCTTCACATCTGATTTCTGATTGCTTCCCATTCTCAAAACATTCATGTGATAGCAGCCTTGTCCAAAATCTACTACTATTTCCTCTTTCCATGTTTCCTGAGAATTCTCATTATGGTCCCTCTTTTCTCTATGGAAACTGAATGTATACTTGCTAAGCTGTGTAGCTAGACAGCTAGATAAGGAAATTGCTTTGATTTGTTTGTTTGGGGATGGGGATGATAGGAATTTGGGACTTTTTCAAAGCTATTTTAAATCGGAAATTTTAATTCTTAGCAATACTTCAGATGTTGATTTCTTTAGTGCCTACCATGGTCAGTGTCTTGATTAAATGTTTAAATAAATGATTAAGCCATTACATGAGACTAAGGTATCTGCTTTTATGTGTTTAGGTTACAAGGACAGCAAATCGCCCAATAGCTGCTGGAGACATTTCAATTCTTCAATCCTTTATTTTTCTCGGGGGACAGCTAACCATGGCACTAGGTGTTCTTCTGTGTCTGAATTACTACAGGTATATTAAATGTGTTTTTCATAATTGTGAAAAGTCTCTTTGAGTCGCAGGCAATAGGAATAAAATAAAATTGAAGTATCTGTATCACAGAGTTGTTTATTGGCTACATATTGATTATCTGTAATTTAGCAAGTATGAATAAGTCACCACACATTGCAAAATCTGCTTCAAGAATGCTTTCAACCAAAGGAGTTAAGAAATCAGAATTTAATTGATTTTGAACCACCTTCATTGTTTGCACTGCCCCTTTCCTAAGAGATGAAGGGCACTTTCACAGGTTTTCTAAGTAGATGGAGGATATGTGTGTATACCACACACACACACACACACACATATATATATGATTTTATTTATACTGGTGATATCTCTGAAGTAGGCAAAAGTGATTGTACTCATTTTGCAAAAAGAGGAATTGTTTCTTTTCCCAGTATCATGCTATTGATAAGTGACAAAAAAAAAAAGTGGGAGAACTGATCCTGTATTTCATTAACAGAGACTTAATGGGCAGTAGATAGCTACTTACAAAGTGCTTCAGTGAGAATGAAAAAAGGGGGGCAGTGTGATTTCAGCAGGTGAATGCTACTTTATAGAGACTTGACCCCATTGCTGCATGTCTCACTCTAATAGCATCAGTAACACAAAACACTTTGTAAGTTGATTTCTGAAAGGTGATCTCAGATGAGCTGTGAAGTACCTAAGAACATTTTATTTATCATCTTTTTTTATGCATTTTATTAAAATACAATTTATGTACAGTGAAATACACAAAACTAAAGTGATATGGGTCAATGCATTTTTTTTTTTTTTGGTGGTGTTCCCTCCTCTCCCCTCCCACCCCTGGCAACCAACAAAGGTTTCCCTTCATATATAAGCCTTTCCTTGACCCTCCACAACAATGAACTAATACTGTATTTGTCTTTCTGTGATTGACGTATGTCACTCAGCATAATGTCCTCCATGTTCATCCATAGTATGCAGTGTTTTGCAGACTCTACATTATTCTTTAGTGCAGTATAGCATTCCATTATGTATATGTACCATAATTTGTCATCCACTCTTCCGCTATAAATCTTAGAGATAAGTCCTTTGCCAGTCATGTAATTATCAGCAATTATGAATTTGTTACTGTCATTTTTGTTATGTGCTTTTTCATGGTGTCAATTTCTTTGTTCCGTATACTTTTCTATGCTGAGTTCATTTTGTTTATGAGACATGTTCTCACTTCCTTTATTGCTATTGTTTTAGTATTTGCTGAATATTTATGCTGGTCCTCTTTTTTGAGGTGAAGGTTTATCATTTTTCTTTGAGGTTATCCTGTGATTTATAGTTTTCTTTCTAAGTTTAGAACAGTCCATTCTATCTTGTAGCATCTTGACTTCACTACCATCTAGAAGTTCTGTAACGACACAGTATTTTTCCTCTTTTTGGTTTGTGGTTGTCCTCATTTGTTGGTTGGTGTTTCTGATTCCCTGTTTACAATCTTGTAAACTTACTTACTTTGGATACTTCCATAGCTGGGTTGGTTTCTGGGTTATATTTATCATGTGTGTTAATGGTCAGTTGTTGTTGGCTGTTGTTGTTTCGCTGTGGAAAGGGCTCCCTTTAGCAACTCTTGTAAGGTTGGTATGGTTTTAACAAATTCCCTTAATTTCTGCTTATCTGGAAATGTCCTAATTTCACCATCATATTTGAGGGACAATTTTGCTGGGTACATAATTCTTGGTTGGAAAATTTTCCCTTTCAGGGTTTTATATATACCATCCCATTGTCTTCTCACCTGCATGGTTTCTGTTGAGAAATCCAAGCTTAGTCTTATTGGTT